TCGCGCCATAACAAGCGCTCCCGTAAGACTGCCAGTTTAAATCATTTCCAACTTGATTGTGGTCGAACAAATGCATGGGTTGCTGGGCTGTTTTTTGTGGGTAGGGAGCAGGTATAACAGAGTTAACAAACCTACCCATCATGGCCGTCATACTTTGCATCTGTGTCATTAGATCATTCTATACACTCAAAAGCTCATTGTGCCGCGAATTCTGCAACTGCATTTAAGTCGCCAGTTCGTCGTGCCGCAAACTCTGCACCTCAATTTGCGACGCCACTTCGTCCCGTCTCTGATCAGTACTCGTCTGTGTTCTTCTAAGCTCTGCTCCAGCTCGTCTGGCGCTACCTATCTCTCGATCATCGCTGGTTGATCCAGACATGAATTTGGATGCGCCATGCAGCTCTCGAATATAGTTTGACCGCCTCCCGCTGCTCGCTCTGGCAGTATTTTTCGCCAGTTCAAGGGACTGAGCTCGTGTTACTGCCTGATTGAAACTGTCAAGCTCCTCTCGTAGAAGTAACTACTGCAGTTCTTCTTCTTAGTTGCCGTCTATGAACCTCTCACAGTTTATGTCGTCTCTCGCATGCTCATTCATATTTTTGTTTGCCACGTCACCTAGCGACCTGACTTTCCTCGAGAACTCTCGCAAGCATTCCTTCTCTCCTTGCATCAGATTCTTGAACTCAGCTCTGGCTGCAGCCCGACTTTGGAATGGCATCAGCCGTCGATCCAGTTCGTCGAGCATCCTCCCTAATGTAGGCTCCGGGAAGCCATCGATTTCCTCTCTGAAATGTGCTGGCATACTCATGAACTCGTCAAGTGCCCAGCTTGTTAAGCTGGTGGGCTGCACCATCCTGGCCTTTTCATCTCCTCGCCGGTTGTCATCTACAACCCAAGCAAAATGTTTCCTCCAGTCCGTCCAACTCTGGTAATTACATGAGGGGAACCGATCAGGCCTTATCGTTCCAAACCCAAACATTCCCTGCTGCCTGTCAAGAGAGTTTGTCGCTGCCACCGCACGCTCTTCGTTATTCATCTTCTGTTCAACATGTCTCGCTCAGCACAGTACGTTTTTGTAACTACAATCCAGAATATGGCCCACCCAGGAGCGCCAATGTAGATTTCGGGGATTGCTTCTCTAGGTCCGTTCACACACGCTAACTTAAAGGCACCGCAAAGTGGTCCCTTTGGTAATGAATTCAGCGGGGCAACCGAGATTCACTACTATCCACAATCCCGAAAGGGTTAAATTGGTGGCAATTTTTACTTGCCACCTTTCTATGCTGCTTTTGAGACTGTCTCGCTCACTCTCGCCGGTCCCAAGAATTTCCAGTAGAAATTAAATTCAGATAAATATTGGTCCAAAAACAGAAGGCTCTAGATGGCCCGAATATAGTCTAGTAATCTAATCAAAAGTAAGGGTCCGCGTTCAATCAACACAATTGCAATTCTCTTTTCTATAGATTATCCTAATTAACGAACTACTCACAGTACTTCCGCTCAATCACTTAGTCCGACCTGCTAAAATTAATAGTGTCACTAAAGATCACTATTCCTTTGAGGTGATTTGACTGATCTCTTTACTTCGCGATTCCTTGTTCTCTAACAATTGAAAACCCAACTAATCTCACTACTAGTTATCTCTGTTCTCTAACTAACTGAGAACTAACTACTATCTCTTTTTAGCAATAATTCTTCTCTAACTAACTGAGAACCAACCGTTCGCTCTCACAGCACAATTGTTCTGCCTAAGGGTGGGCTACTTGCTTTTCTCTCTGATGTTTGTCTATTTGAGTTTTAGTTTTAGTTATTGTTATGTCTTCCCTACAAGTCCTGATATTGACTTTGGTACCCTTTTTATAAGGTCTTGACTGAATTCTTCCTTTGACGACAATAGTCCTAAGTTCCAATTTCATTAAGGGTATCTCTAACTAAGTGTGCAAATATCAAGTCCAATTAACCAATCTTCCCGAGGTTCTTATTTAATTATCTCTAGCGTTCTGACCCCCCAGGGGTAGGGGAAGACCCTTTTTATAGATTGCTAACTCATTCTAAGCAAATAAAATTCCGATCTATACTCTATTCCAATTCCGACCTTCTAGCTATCATGGGAACGTAATTCGCTTATTAGGGGTAGAGTTGTGCCAAAATTGGAGATTCGAACTATTTGGACTTCACTGTTTGTTTACTTTTCTTCTCATCTTATTGACTAAACAATCTTCATAGTACGCGCTCCCCATTAGCTTTAAAATACTGCATGCCTTTACCAAGGTAAAGCTCTCAAACGCAATTTGAGTTAGGCGAAAAAAAGGTTAGATCACCGATCCTACAGTTTTATCTCGAGTTTTTATTTTTTTGTGCTGTTAATCTAGTAAAGAGTACTGAGAAACACTTTTGACCATCAAAGTTTTTCGAGAAATCTTCATTCTAACAAACGCTTGCATTGAGGGCGACCAAGCTATTTCCTTGGTCTCTGATGTTTGGCCGGTTCACATCAGTTTGCTCTCATAAATCTGCCTCTACCGCATTGCAAACTTTTCCCTGGGGTTGTTTTGTTTCTTGATATAAACTATGTCTTTAAGTTTGGTAGTCTGCTTCTCGGCGTGTCTGCTCAGAAAATGTGGCGATCGAGGCAACAGATCTTCTATTTTTTGGCGTTTTGTCAAAATGCTGTCTAATCAAAGCATTCACAGTGTTGCAACCTCCTGATGTTTAAATCACTTGAAACTCGAGCCCTATCAGTCAAAAATCCACTTGGTAGATCTGGCTGATACTGTTTTGTCTGTTGGATGGGGTTGCATCCTAGTAGGAAGTATTTCAACCGAGTCACCGCAAAAACTACTTTTTGACCTTCTGATCAATATCAAATTAAACATGTTTCGCAGAAATTTAGAGAACTCGATGTTTTTTTTTCGTGGGAAAATGTCACCAAACGATTGTTCTGAAATATCTAGTGTTATTGCCTTTTCTCTTGATCAGTTTTTAAGGTTTTACAGCTGGTTTTTGAGTAAAATCACGATGTTTTTTTTTGAAACCATTTAATGTGTTCATCAGCTAACTGAAAGTTTTGGGTCCATCAATGAGCGAAAATTTTTTTGAGGCAAAGATCTGTTGCTTTGACATCCAAAAAATCCTCGAAATAAATAAAAAAAAATTTCTAACTTGTGCAATCATCCAATTACCAAACTTGAGTCCAGCAGCTGAAACTAATCAGCCCAAAAATAACAATTTTTGTGATTCTTATTGAGCTCGACTTTGCTGCTTCGAAGTTGAAACTCTTTTCTCTTAACTGTATTCATACACCTACCGAATTGATTTTTGGAGAAGCTTTAGACGACAAGATCGTCTAGGAAGATAGTCAAGCGTTTGACTTTTTCCTAAGAGATCTTCAAGCATTTTGTGAAAGAGATATTCGTGCATCTTGGACTATTACGCCTGAATAACAGGTGTTTTATGGATCTATAAAGTCCAATCTAGTGGAAAGTAGCTGAGAGATTGTTTTTTTTTTTAAAATCAAAGATTCTCTGCTGATTGTGGAAGATTTCCTCCTTGCCGCTCAAAGGCTAGTCTGTGCTCATCATCCAACAACAGGTCAATTTTCGTTAACATTTTCGTTTTTTTTCTATTGCTGAACGATTGCTGTTCCGGGGCCAAAAAACTATTAACTCATCGAACAGCTTGTGTTCAAGTGCACTCTGTCTTACAATATTCCGCCAGCAAGGCTCTGTCAGTTTTGGAAAAAATCTGGCGATTGGTGATTATAAAATTGCTTCTGATACACGGTAACATTTTATTGCATTGCTGAGAAGCAAAAACATGCTGAGTGATTTTAGTATGAACAATTAGTTGCCCTGTTTTTGTTTTTTTTTCTAGTTTTTATAAAAGAAAAAATTGATAATGTTCAAGCATTTGCAACAGATATAACAGTTTTCAGTTCGAATTTAATCGACTGTTGAGGTGTGTTACAGATTAGAAGCCTGTTTAGGTGGAGAAATGATCACAATTTACAGGTTCCTTTTTTAAATTAGTTTTCACACAAATTACTTTCAACATATTTTCATCATTTTTTTGGATGTGGTTGATTGTTATACTATAAATTATTTAGCGCTCAAACAGGGAAGAAGTTTAATTTCATCACGCAAAGTTTTATTATACTTTTTACTTTTAATGACAAATTTTGAGTTTTTTTTAACTTTTCACATCAATTATGAAACACAGAATTATCGGCCAGTTTTTTGGCAGACCAATATTGGTTATATGTTAGAAAAAATATGAATTCAGTTGGTTTTTTAAGATCAGTTTGGCTTTCGAAACGATAGGTGAACAATAGCATTGTTATTAGAAATGATGAAAAAACGGTTTCACAAGCAATCGGAAATGAATCAGTGTCCGTTTGTTGACCTTAAGAAGGCGTTTGACTCATTAGGTCAAGATCTATAATTTCAAAGTGCAATGCCTATGTATTGAAATTTCCACTTTTGGAATTAATTGACTCTTACCTCAATACCCGCAAGCAGTTTTTAGTAAGTAATTAAGCGAAGTCTGATTGAGAGGTATTGCTTTAGGGGTCTCGCAAGGCTCAGCTTTTTTCAACGATTAGCCCGGTAATGTATTTAGTTTGCTCGGCAAGGAGCGGTTGCAGTGTGAAAGAGCAGAAGCGAATTTAAGGTGAGGGGGGGGGGGGGGGGTTGCTACTATGTTAAGACTTCCATTAGTGACTGACTGACCCTAGATTTTTTTTATAATTACGCCTTTGTCGCCAAAATCTTCCAACTTTTAGGGGGGAGCGCGCAAAAAATTACAACTTTTTTTGGTCAAAATTTTTCAAAAAGTGCATTAAAACGCGGTAAAATCTAACGCCCCCCATCTACCCCCATCTACCCTTTCTCCCTCGAGAGGATCATCTTGGATCTGCCCCTGTGAAAGAGTCAGCAAGCGGTCGATACCTATACCGCTTTTGCTCAAACACGTGCCACCTATTGTATCATATGGCCAATTAGCAGCCAACTTACAAACAACTCATCAACCGCCGCAGAAAAAGAGGAGCAACCGAAAAAACACCAGCTGAAGTAACAAAATCAACAACGAATAAACAGAAGAAGCTGAAAAGATGTATGAACAAACCGCACATGAAATGCGTTCAAAACATTTTTTGCAACAAACTTCAAAATTATCACTTGGAATGTACAAAAACAAGTAAAAAAGTTTTTCGGTTTATTGGTGCGTCAATTCAACATATGCGCCTGAATATTAAGCATGAGTCCCATATTGACTTTCAGGACTTTGATCCAAATTTAAAAAAAATCAATAATTATCCCAATTTGCCCTATTGTTATATTCATGTTGCTCCTTACAAACCTGTACAATTTCATTATTGCAATTCCAAATTGAACTTCTGTTTATTCCCACCAAAAAAAAGACTGAATGCAAGTGGATGCGACAAAGTTTTCTTCGAAATTTTTTTTTTCCTTAATTTCGATCCGAGACTTTGCGGATTGCAAAAAACTACTGCGTAGAAATTGTTTTTTTTGTTTTTTTCTTCGGTTTTTCTTCAGGTTAATTACCATATATAAAACTAAAACAAAACAAAAAATCTGATTTAAAACTTTTAAAACACTCAATTCAATCTCTGTAAACTACCAAGAACACATTTGAATTTGAGACTGCAAAAAAAAGTTCTGGAAAAAAAACACTGGAAAAAAATAAAGCTGACAAATCTGGTGTCAGAATTCATGCCGTAAAGAACATTTTAGTTTTCCCGAACGATTAGGAAAATCATTTTGGCAGTTGTGATTTTTTTTTGTAGTTTTTTTTGGTTGTTTTTTTTCTTCTTTTTTGTTACTTTTGCATACAGTCGACCACCTCACTACCACAAAATTCCCAGCTTTGGTATTTTTTTACGATTTCCATTTTCGGCCGACCGATCTTAGATTTTTGTAAAAGCTCCTTCGGCGAAATATATACTTTTTACTTCTCGTTTTTAAAAACATTCTCGTTTTGATCTCGATTTTAATAATGTTCTCGTTTTGTTCTCGTTTTAATAATGTTCTCTTTTTGTTCTCGTTTTTTTTTAGTTCTCGTTTTTATTATCAAAAAAAAACTAGTTTTGATGCGGAGCGCGCGCCGAAAAAAAGGATCTTTTTGGTCAAAACTTTCCAAAACTTGCCCAAAAACGGCTCTATGGCCTGTTTTCACAAAAATTTTGTCTTCAAGTGCACAAATCTTTGTCAATTAGGGTCTCTATGCTGTTTTTAAACCCACCAGAGAGAGTCTATGTATCTTGAATTACATAACATCATTTCAAAAGTAGATCTTGATAGAACCGGAAACTAAAGCATCTAAAATTCCGATCTATACTCTATTCCAATTTCGACCTTCTAGCTATCAGGGGAACGTAATTTGCTTATTAGGGGTCGAAATGTGCCAAAATTGGAGATTCGAACTATTTTGGACTTCACTGTTTGCTTACTTTTCTACTTATCCTATTGACTAAACAATCTTCATAGTACGCGCTTCCCATTAGCTTTACAATGATGCATGCATTTACCAAGGTAAAGCTCTAAAACGCAATTTGAGTTAGGCGAAAAAAAGGTTAGGATCAGCGATCCTACAGTTTTATCTCGAGTTTTATTTTTTCCTGGAGTTGTTTTGTTTCTTGATATAAACGATGCCTTTAAGTTTGGTAGTCTGCTTTTCGGCGTGTCCGCTCAGAAAATGTGGCGATCGAGGCAACAGATCTTCTATTTTTTGGCGTTTTGTCAAAATGCTGTCTAATCAAAGCATTCACAGTGTTGCAACCTCCTGATGTTTAAATCACTTTAAACTCGAGCCCTATCAGTCAAAAATCCACTTGGTAGATCTGGCTGATACTGTTTTCGGCTGTTGGATGGGTTGCATCCTAGTAGGAAGTATTTCAACCGAGTCACCGCAAAAACTACTTTTGGACCTTCTGATCAATATCGAAGTAAACATGTTTCGCTGAAATTTAGAGAACTCGATGTTTTTTTTCGTGGGAAAATGTCACCAAACGATTGTTCTGAAATATCTAGTATTATTGTCTTTTCTCCTGATCAGTTTGTAAGGTTTTACAGCTGGCTTTTGAGTAAAATCACGATGTTTTTTGAAACCATTTAATGTGTTCATCAGCTAACTGAAAATTTTGGGTCCATCAATGAGCGAAAAATTTTTTTTGAGGCAAAGATCTGTTGCTTTGACATCCAAAAAATCCTCGAAATAAATAAAAAAGTTTCTAACTTGTGCAATCATCCAATTACTAAACTTGAATCCAGCAGTTGAAACTAATCAGCGTAAAAATAACAATTTTTGTGATTCTTATTGAGCTCGACTTTGCTGCACCGAAGATCGTCTAGGAAGATAGTCAAGCGTTTGACTCTTTCCTAAGAAATCTTCAAGCATTTTGTGAAAGAGATATTCGTGTATCTTGGACTATTACGCCTAAATAACAGGTGTTTTATGGATCTATAAAGTCCAATCTAGTGGAAAGTAGCTGAGAGATTGTTTTTTTTAAATCAAAGATTCTCTGCTGATTGTGGAAGATTTCCTCCTTGCCGCTCAAAGGGTAGTCTGTGCTCATCATCCAACAACAGGTCAATTTTCGTTAAAGTTTTCGTTTTTTTTTTCTATTGCTGAACTATTGCTGTTCCGGGGCCAAAAAAACTATTAACTCATCAAACAGCTTTGATTTAAGTGCACTCTGTCTTACAATATTCCGCCAGCAAGGCTCTGTCAGTTTTGAAAAAGATCTGGCGATTGGTGATTATAAATTTGCTTCTGAGACACGATAACATTTTATTGCCTTGTTGAGAAGCAAAAACATGCTGAAATAATTTAGTATGAACAATTAGTTCCCCTGTTTTTTTTTCTAGTATTTATAAAAGAAAAAATTGATTACATTCAAGCATTTTCAACAGATATAACAGCTTTCAGTTCAAATTTAATCGACTGTTGAGGTGTGTTACAGATTAGAAGCCTGTTTAGGTGGAAAAATGATAACAAATTTACAGGTTCCTTTTTTAAATTAGTTTTCACACAAATCACTTTCAACATATTTTCATCATTTTTTTGGATGTGGTTGATTGTTATACTATAAACTATTTAGCGCTCAAACAGGGAAGAAGTTTAATTTCATCACGCAAAGTTTTATTATACTTTTTACTTTTAATGACAAATTTTGAGTTTTTTTTAACTTTTCACATCAATTATGAAACACAGAATTATCGGCCAGTTTTTTGGCAGACCAATATTGGTTATGTTAGAAAAAATCTGGATTCAGTTTGTTTTTTAAGATCAGTTTGGCTTTCGAAACGATAGGTGAACAATAGCATTGTTATTAGAAATGATGAAAAAACGGTTTCACAAGCAATCGGAAATGAATCAGTGTCCGTTTGTTGACCTTAAGAAGACGTTTGACTCATTAGGTCAAGATCTATTAATTTCAAAGTGCAATGCGGTGAATTGAAATTTCCACTGTTGGAATTAATTGACTCTTACCTCAATACCCGCAAGCAGTTTTTAGTAAGTAATTAAGCGAAGTCTGATTGAGAGGTATTGCTTTAGGGGGTTGCTACTATGTTAAGACCTCCATTAGTGACTGGCTGACCCTAGATTTTTTTATAATTACGCCTTTGTCGCCAAAATCTTCCAACTTTTAGGGGGGAGCGCGCAAAAAAATTACAACTTTTTTTGGTCAAAATGTTTCAAAAAGTGCATTAAAACGCGGTAAAATCTAACGCCCCCATCTACCCCCATCTACCCTTTCTCCCTCGAGAGGATCATCTTGGATCTGCCCCTGTGAAAGAGTCAGCAAGCGGTCGATACCTATACCGCTTTTGCTCAAACACGTGCCACCTATTGTATCATATGGCCAATTAGCAGCCAACTTACAAACAACTCATCAACCGCCGCAGAAAAAGAGGAGCAACCGAAAAAACACCAGCTGAAGTAACAAAATCAACAACGAATAAACAGAAGAAGCTGAAAAGATGTATGAACAAACCGCACATGAAATGCGTTCAAAACATTTTTTGCAACAAACTTCAAAATTATCACTTGGAATGTACAAAAACAAGTACTAAAGTTTTTCGGTTTATTGGTGCGTCAATTCAACATATGCGCCTGAATATTAAGCATGAGTCCCATATTGACTTTCAGGACTTTGATCCAAATTTAAAAAAAATCAATAATTATCCCAATTTGCCCTATTGTTATATTCATGTTGCTCCTTACAAACCTGTACAATTTAATTATTGCAATTCCAAATTGAAGTTCTGTTTATTCGCACCAAAAAAAAAGACTAAGTGAATGCAAGTGGATGCGGCAAAGTTTTCTTCGAAATTTCTTTTTCCTTATTTTCGATCCGAGAATTTGCGGATTGCAAAAAACGACTGCGTAGAAATTGTTTTTTTTTCTTCGGTTTTTCTTCAGGTTAATTACCATATTAAAAATCATTTTGGCAGTATCGAAGGATTAGGAAAATCATTTTGGCAGTATTGATTTTTTATAGTTTTTTTTGGTTGTTTTTTTCCTTTTTTTTGTTACTTTTGCATATAGTCGACCGCCTCACTACCACAAAATTCCCAGTTTTTGTACTTTTTTAAGATATCCATTTTCGGCCGACCGATCTAAGGTTTTTCTAAAAGCTACTTCCGCGAAATATATACTTTTTACTTTTCGTTTTTAAAAACATTCTCGTTTTGTTCTCGATTTTAATAATGTTCTCGTTTTGTTCTCGTTTTAATAATGTTCTCCTTTTGTTCTCGTTTTTTTTTTAATTCTCGTTTTTTTTAATAAAAAAAACTAGTTTTGATGGGGAGCGCGCGCCGAAAAAAGCATCTTTTTGGTCAAAACTTTCCAAAACTTGCCCAAAAACGGCTCTATGGCCTGTTTTCACAAAAATTTTGTCTTCAAGCGCACAAATCTTTGTCAATTAGGGTCTCTATGCTGTTTTTAAACCCACCAGAGAGAGTCTATGTATCTTGAATTACATAACATCATTTCAAAAGTAGATCTTGATAGAACCGGAAACTTGCTTTTCTAAATGCTGCTGTATTGATGCTCATGCAAAAATGATTTGATCTGTGACCTCAATCCGGGCCACGATCGCAATAGTGCCTCGCCAGAAAAAAAAAGAAAAAATCTGCAATTCAAAAATTAATCAAACTACAAAATTAAAATATGGAGATACAAAATAGCTCAAGTTTGCTTAAGCATTGGAACAGTATAGGTACCTATTGACCAACTTGTCAATTGAAATTAGTTTTAACTAGAAATTGTTGGAAGAAGATGAAAGGCTCATTTGTTCTCGGTTTTCTGAAAGCTATCAAAACCTTCTGGCAGTTGAATTTTCTGGTGATTTGCGATAAGCGTCTCTCCGTTGAAATTCTGAAGGTTATTTTGCCCATTACAGCATAATCGTTCACGCGCACTTTCGTTCTAATGTCTGCTGTTTCTAGTCCGTCCTCTGAAACGGTGTCGGAAAGAGTCGTGATAGAGTCATTTTTCTTATGTGTCAGTAGCGTCACGTTAGGTACAAGCGACTGTTTTTTGAGGTCATCATTTTTTGTAACACTATCGAAGCCTCCGTGATTATAAGACGAAGAATTGTAGACCAAATAAATCAAAATTTGGTACTCAAGTTCTTTTCGAGGTATTCTGTAAAAGGAAATATCCCGATTCCCGTCATTCATTTCCTTCATGTTGGACACCTGCCAATATTTTCTGGGAGCATCTGTCAGTCTTGGGAATGCTAGAGATTGTTGGTGAGGGGACAAAGACAGCGACACAGACGTGTTACCGCCTGGAACTTTGTGACTCAGCCGGATTTCAATTCTCCCGTCGTGTAAGCACGATTCCGATGATTCAACTTTAGCAGATTCAGGTGGAGAAAAATGTGACGTAATCTTTACAGGACATAGTAGCCGAGGAAGACTGATGAATTTATACTTGCGTAAGGTAAACGTGGACACCAACTGGTCACGTGATCTTATTTCTACATTAACCGGTAAAGGGGTCGTGAAATGGGTTTGAGTCAGCACCAGGAACCTCATGGGGTTTTCAGTTGAGGGGGAGGGGACGGCGAATGAACTTGATGAGGAGTTGGAGTTTGTTGTTGTTGTTATTGCGGTTGTTGTTGTTGTTGTTGCTGCTGCTGTTTTTGTTGTGGCAATGAGACTTGGAATGGATGAGTAATGTGTGAGGTGGGGTTGCGGCAGTGACACACTCCAAAGATGCAGCTCCTCGGGAGCCGTTAGGATCCTGGTTTCCGATGATGCAATAGCACTGTGAATTGTAGTGACCGGATATTGCAGCGTATTCCACTGAGACTGACTCATAATATCAGTCTGTGACAGATCCAGCGCGAACAACACCAGCTGGTAATCTCGATCATTCAGTAGCACCTGGTCAACAAATTGCCCCCTCGGATCTCGCGAGCAACTCACGTTGTACACAGTGCTTGACCTATATAACTCCACCCACGCTTGTCTGGGATGAGTCACTGCCACTTCCGTAATAGAAAAGGTCATGACCTCATTTGAACTTGACCCTTTTTCAGTTTGACCTAACATTGAGCTCAACTGCGAGGCGACTGCATGTCTTTGTGCGAATAAGTAGCTTCGGACACCACACCTTAAAGCAAAAAAGATATTGATGCTCACAAGAGTCATTTTCCCGTAAAACACTCGAGTATGCCTAGCTGTTCAAAAACAACCACAGGTCATTTTTCAAAAACAACCGAAGTTTCAGTTTTCAAGCGATGAAAGGAAAATATATATATTTTTTCAAATTTGTTCCGTTTTCTCTACATTTACAAAAAATTCACTTTAGTAATTTTGAAATATGATGGATGAAATTGTTTTCCAGATTGAAATTGGATGAAAAACCGTAAAAAAATTGTTTTTACGACGTGGTTTGTCCATTTAGCCAGTGGGCGTCAGAGGTATTTTCTAGTGCAAAAAGTCCCCGTATACATCAGAAACAGTTTGAAAATTGGATTTGAAAGTATTCGATGGAAAATTGAGGAACTGAACTAGGCCCTAATTTAGGTTTCTTTTCACCTGGAAAAATCAAAACTTTCTTACACTCTAATATAGAAGTTGATTGAAAATTCAATAATTTGTTAGTAAAATGCCAAAATCTTAGTCAAACTTTATTTGATAGCTGAAAATTTTTTGTATTCTTAATAAGACTAAATCTATATGCGGGCCTAGCTGAGATCGTTAGCTTTCCAACGAATACTTTTATTTCAAAGTTTCAAATTGCTTCTGATGTTCATTCACGGGGACTTTTTGGCTCTAAAAACACCTCGCCCTTTGGTTAAATAGACAAACCACGCTTTAAAACAATTTTACGGTTTTCTATCCAGCTATTGTCTTGAAAAGACTACCGACAAGTTTCAATGAATGGTTTCAACTGCGAGTAGTTGTAGAGAAGAAGGCAGAAACGTGAAAAAAAATTTAAAATTTTCGATCTTTTCATCGCTCGCGTGACTGTAATTCTCTAAAGGGGCAGACATTTTTTCCTAGTACAATGGAGGGGATAGCTTAATACATTCAAATATTTTGTACAGCTGACTCATATCATTTTGACTCAGAGTTTTTTTAAAGCTAACCATCCAGAGGCCCAACCCGAAGGTTATTTATTTAAGGTTAACTAAGCTACGGTTATCTTACAATAGCTGACCTTGTAAATTTCAGCGCACGTGCGATTTGAACCCGCAATCATAAGGTTGCTGGGCACAATATCACTACCGATGCACCACAAAGTCATTTTTACTTCATATCACAATAACAAGAAATCAACAATGCTAACTGATCGAAACCCTGGTTGGGTAGTTGCGCGAATACGGCGCAGAAGGCAATTGATGATTCATTGGTGAACGATTGCTTCTCCCCTGCTAGTCCAGAAAATCCTTGCTCTGACGTGGGCCAACTATATTGTAACTAAAACAAGGTTAGCCGGTAACTGTGCAAGTAGCACAGAATGTTTCTACCATAGTCTTGAAAAAATTTAAAAAATAAGTTTTTTGTCTTAACTAAAATGGAATTCAGATCGCTTTTTTCCTGCGTGGTGTGATAAAAAGTCAGAATGAAAAACTGGAACTTACGAAAATTCGACAGCCATAGTAAATTAGACAAAAGTTGTAGAAAATGACTGAGAAACAAAAAATATTTAAAAAAAATTCAAAACCAAGAAATTTTTTGAATTTTGAAGTTTTTAATTTCCATATTAATTAAACATTCAGGGCCAAAACTAAGCAAAATAAGCTATTGTAGGCCTGCTTGGTCGCATTATTCGCTCAATGTTAGACTAAAAAGTTTAAACGACTGAAAGGGTTTTCATATGATATATCCCACGACCAATTCCCAAAATTATTTGTGAATTCTGATTTTGCAACGAATACAACCAGAGAAAGAAAAAAACTAAAACATCTCCAAAGGCACACTTCCTCCCAATTTTTCATTGTTGAGGATTTACGATAGATCTATGATAGATTTAACTAAAGGAAAAAAGGAGTATAAGAAAAACTGTAGACAATTTTTTATAAGAAAGATAATAATAATGGTTGAAAATTCAAGCCAAAAACAGCTCAAAAAATTGTCATTTTTAAAGATCCTGATGAATTGTTTGCTTTTCAGTTTTGTTTTTCAAACTATGACTTATAAAAATTCGTTCGAATTTGATATTTTTTTTTTGCGACTTGACTTGATAATTTGTGTATTTGAAATTTAGAGGTTGAAATTAATTAAGGTTTTTGATCAAGATATTTTAGTTTCCTTGAGTCTTTCACACTTTTCCATCCATTCAATAATTTTATTTTGCAAAAAATCGGACATTATACAGGACTTCCATATAGCGAATTTGATGTTTTCCGAAAATTTATTGAATCAAAGTTCAAATTAATTTTAAACAAATAGTACTGAATGCTCTGATTAGCATTATTTTTCAAGTAAGTGTCGTTGTAGTGCGTGTTGTGGTTAGAGATTTATACAAACGCGTAAATAGTTAATGAATTCGGCATTATTGACAACAATTGCTTTCAAAAAAATAAGTAACAAACAAAAAATGGAAGAATATATTCTATGAAAAAAAGAATAACAAACAAAAAATATATATGAAAAAAAAAACAAAAAAAAAATAAATAAGTAAACAAATTAAAAAATGATGCTTCAAAAACTAGTTTTCCTGGTGTTCAATTGAGCATTTGACCACCTAAGTTATTGAACTAAAATTGGTCGATTAAATGCGAATTATCAAATTTTTCAAACCGGTTTTTTTTTTCTCAGCACAGAAAAAATTTTTATCGCGACCGAATCACGGCTTTGATAGATTACATCGTTCAAAATTTACGCAGGAATTTTTTTGTTGATTTTTGAAAAATTTTTTGAACAAAAGCTAAACGGATGAAGAATGGATCTTCGAGTTATCATTTTCACGACTTGAACTAAATACGAAAGTAAACCTGAGACGATCGTTCTGATCTGGTCGGTCTGTAAGTCGGGGCTTCCAGTTTGTTCTGCTGAATCAAACTAGACGGAAGTCCATGAGTGAAATACAACTGGAAAACTGTTTGCAGCTGAGCAGATTCCGGAAGCACGATCCAGACATCAAACATGACTGGACCAGGATCAACAGTGACACACGCTTCGGCTCTTTGCTCCTCCCCTCCCCAATTTTTGCTCTTTTTTTCATCGTCATTTGGCTCCTCGTGACTGTCAGAGTAGATCACGTATTTTGCGCTCTGTCTTTCTTGTATATTTTCAGCTGGAAAACATAAATTATAAACAAAATGAAAACAAAAAAAGTCGTCAGACAACATTACGCTCGTGGCAGAAGCTCATATATGTCATAATATCTCATTCATGCAATATGCTTCATAGTAATATCCGTTATGGCAAGCCTGCGCACTGTTTCAATCATTTTTCCTCCGTTTTTTAAATTTTTGTTTCAAGTTTTGAACATTTTTTTCGTTTTTTCGAAAAATTGTAAATTTATACAGTTCTTCAGTTCTGGGGTTTCAAAGAGACACCAAATAGTTCTATTTTTATAGATTAAATATCAAGCAAATAAAAGTCGGTTTGAAAACGGAACAAGACTGCTCGTATCAGGGCGAAACCCTGAATGTTTCGACTGCCTTTTAAGGTCTATGGAGCAGTAACAACATGAAAAAATTAATTCTAAAAAAAAAGTAAGAATAAAAGTAATTTGAGATTTTTGATAAAATCAACCCCCACACGCCATATAAAGGACAGAGTGATAAATTTTGCTCCTTGTAAGAAATCAATTATGGCAAAATAAGCTTCCTTCAACCAATTTGGAACGATTTCTAAGACGGATTAAATCTGCGCTTACGCGTTAATAGCGCGAAACATATTGTCCTAAATTGGCAAAATTGGCGAAATTTGCAATTGCTAAGCCCCATAGCTTTACGAAAAATATTTTCAGGTAGAATATCTTTTCAACTTTAAGACCGAGACAACAAAACTTTTTAAATGATACAAAAAAAATTTCGTCAAAAATGGCTAGTTAAAAAGTCGAAGTTTGTCTGAAGAAAAAAATCAACGCGAGCAGGGGCGGATCTAGGATTTTCTCGCGGAAGGAGGGGACAAAAATGTTGTCGATTTTTGCTTTAGGTCGACCAAATTGATTTTCTGAGCTCTCCAAATCATTATAAAGACCCCATTCTTACCAAATTTTCAACGCCGCAGGCGATTTTTTGAAAAAACAGGCCAAAAAAGGCGTTTTTAGGCAAAATTTAGAAAATGTTGTCTAGAAAATTGCGCTTTTTTGTCGCGCGCTCCCCCCTCAAAATTAGTATATACTGGCGCCCATGGCGCCTCTAGAAAAACTTTAGGGTCAATCAGTCAAAAATGGGTGTTTCAAAAAAGTACAAAGGGGGACCCTTTGGGTCGGCTGGGGGTCGAATCCACCGGTGGCCCCGAGTACAAATAAAAAATAATCCGTTACTTTTGTACGAAAGCCTGAACAACAACACGACGCATGGAAATCTGATTTATGAATTAAGTACGGTTTTAGGATCATTTTTTGATTCAACGGAGAAATAAACAAAGAAACGGCATAAGGACGCCAAACAGTGAGACAAGTGTTGAATGGTATGATTTGCAAATAAATGAAAAACAAGTAAATTTTTAATAATTAGCAAATGGTCGTCCGCTTTCTGTTATTTGCAAAGTAGTTCACGAGTTTTTTTAGAAAAAAAAACAGATCTAGTCTTATAAAAATTGATTTCAGCTCCTTGATTTGGATTAAGACTACGGTTGGTTTAAAGATTGAAATGATCTCTGGGTGGTAGGTCAGTAACTCGATGTATCAGTAAACCGAAAACGGACGGACCAGATTAGTAAACCGAAAATTAATGATTCAATTACGTAATCACATTAGCTAAAAACTGAGATTTTATACAAAATGACATTTTTTTCCTCAAAACAAAAATCGAATTAAATAATGAAATAAATTAGCTCTTCCCATCAGCCTCGTAGTTTTAAAATTATTGTTTCAGCCAGGGAAAATTTATTCTATAAATTTTTAATTCCGCAACTGATGTAGTTATTACGTAAATCGGTTTACTGATCTGGTAATTTACTGACACCGCGGGCTTCTGTATGCACCCCGATCTTTGAAACCAAAATTAATGACGAGAAATTAGGAGGGCTTACTATTTTAAACGATGCCGTCGCGACAACTCGCAAAGGTGTAGCGCTCCCAAAATTCAAAGAAACCCAAATCTAACAAAATCTGGCTCTACTTCGCTCACAATCGGACAGAGTATTTTATTGCGTGTGGAAAAGAGCTAAACTTTGCGAGTAGTTTAATTTTGACTTATCGAGTTATCAAGTCATTTTTTTGCGGTAGGGCGGGGGAGATAGGTGGGGGGGTGGAGGAAGGGGTGGGGGCTGTTCTGACCTGGGAAGTGGAACACTCTGATGTGGAATGGGGTGGGGGTGACACATGGCTGAACTGTAATACACACTCGGGACTGATTCACCCTGTCGCTCACATTAGCCTGCACTCTGTCCGCGAACTTGAAGCTGAACAAACAAAAGTTTTATCCAACCAGGATTGCATCATGTTTACAAACACCCCCCCCCCCCCATTACTGCAGAAGGTGGTAAAGTACCAATGTTACAAGGTGCAAATGTTCGTTAGATCTAATGATTCTTGAAAGTGAGTTTTTCTCCGAATGTGATCGAGACACCGAGATCTTAAAATGTTAGGTTTTATGCCAAAATAACCAAAACATTCTTTTTCCCCCCTGAATTTTGCAATTTAATTTATGAGTTTCTTATAGAAAAAACGAAAAAAAAAATTAAATTAATTTTGACTTACATGTTTTTGACTCCAGGATGTACTAAGACCTGCTGAGGCAATGGGTTAAAGTTGAAGTGCGTTGTCGCAAAAAGTAAAGGAAGTTTGGGAGATGAAAACATGGAACTCATTGAGGGGGCTCTGTAGCAGTAACATTGGGGAAGCATTGCACCGCAACACATCATTAGCGTCAACAGAACTTTTAATCTTAGAAAAATATACGCAATAATCCTTGTTAGTCCAAGTTTTTTTGACGTTGGGATCCGGGAGACCTCGACTGTCGTTGATGGAGTTTCACTAGAGACGTTTGGACCCCTTAGTTGGACCCCTTCAGCGCCTGCTCTTCTCTCCTCCCCTCTCAATGCTAAAATTGGGTGGGGATGAGCCGTTTCCGAGCTGCTATCAGAAACGTTTGCAGATTTTCGATTAAGAGTTCGAAGAGCAAGATAAGACAAGTGGAGTTTTGGTGCTTTAGAAGGTCTCTGGAGGTCTCTAGTCCGATTCAGTGACGTCTCTTTTTCGTTCATGGTAGCAAAAACGAGCACAAGAATTGGCACATGTTGTCCCAGTTGGCACTAATAGACAAATTCCCCACTATTTTCATAGTTCCATCTGGAGTAAATGGTGATAAATTCAGAATTGCCTTCAACCGGGTCAATGAGTCACCAACTCTCTTTCGATCTGAAATGAGCAATTGAAATATCAAATTCCAACACCTACCCACGTCGATTTCAAAGGAAAGGCAAAAGGTAACGGTTTTTTTAGGCAAATTTAACCAAATTGAGTAAAAGTTTCTACGGGAGCAAACGCAAGATTTTTCCGACATTTGAAAAAAAAAATTTCCGACATTTATCTTATTTTTTTTTCTTTGAACTTATCAGTTTTTCTTTTTCAACCTAGAACAGAAAAAAATATATGATCAATCACTTTGATTTTTCAAAAACCTCAATTTGCTTTTAGAGCATTGCTTTATATATGGTATGATACCCATATAGCTCGATAGCTCATACTTTTTTTTCATTTACACTTGGCACTTACGGCACATAAGGGATTTTTTTACAGAAAACAATGAGGGCATTGGGATTATAACTCATTTAAGCCTTTTAAACAAAACGCGCAAAAACCATCTCAACTCACTAAGCAAGATTCGGTGTCGCACCGTAAGAAGAACAATAATGATTGATCAGCGCGGAGCCTCGATTGTTCCGATTGCTCCGACTCTGTCGTTGATTTGTTTTTTTTTGTTTTTAAAAATTAGATCTTTCATAAGAGCGTTTAATTAAGACCTAGTAGCACAAGTAATCTCTCATTTTCTCTGAAAATCGAAACAACAAAATTCGCATGCTATGCAAATACTTTAATACTTTTTCTGCGCTTGTGGAGCAAGTAATTAAAAACTACCCGTACTGAATACAGATTTGGATTAAGTTAAATCTAATTTGAATCAAATCGATTAGTCATGTAAACTTAAGAAACTAAAAAGGATTTTCATTCGAATTAAAAAGAGTCATCCAGTAAACTTTGGATAAGTTAAGTATCTGAACTTGATAAAAATTAATTTGGATGGATTTTGGTAGCCACTTAATTTCACCTGAATCGAACTGAAATTGTACATGTCAACTTGGGGATTGAAAAAGGTGATTTTTTAGCCAAAAACCACGCTTGATGAAAACTTCTGTTGGATGAAACTTCTTTCAATGCCATTCTTAAGATCATCATTTTTAGCGCAATTTTACTGGGTGAATAAAAAATTGATAGTCCCGCATTGAATCAATTAGTTCGTAATGTGACAACTCGCAAGAAAAAACAACTCGCAATGAAAGACAACTCGCAAAAAAAATAACTAGCAAAATACTCATCACCGCAATATACTCACCAACGTGTTGCGAGCATGCCAACAGATGATAAGACTTTATACGAAGTTTAGGACCGGTTATCGCCTTAAGCCGAGAATATAAATTTCCAACTAGCTTCGAAAACTTGCGAGTTGTTGCTTTCCTTAAACTTTTCGAGTTGTATTTTGTTGCAAGTTTACTTTTATTGCGAGTTGATGCGGTTATCAATTATACAAAGTGCAAATTAACAATTAACAAAGTTTAGGACCGGTTATCGCCTTAAACCGAGAATATAAATTTCCAACTAGCTTCAAAAACTTGCGAGTTGTTGCTTTCCTTAAACTTTTCGAGTTGTATTTAGTTACAAGTTTACTTTTATTGCGAGTTCATGCGGTTACCAATTAATTATGCTATACAAAGTTTGCAAATTAAATTTTTGCATCCTATAGTTTTTTTTTCAGAGAAAGCATCAGCATGAAAGTTTCTCATTATGGTTTGTATAAAAAAATATTTAAAAAATGAATTTAAATAGATTTAAACCGATGCATATCAGCTTAAAGTTATCAAAGTAAAACTATACAGGAACAAAAATATGAATTAAAATCGATTTAGAACCGATACAAGTTGATTTTTTTAACGGTTTTGACATTCAAATTATTTCATTTTACAATTGATCCTGAAAGTGTTTCCCCGTTTTGAAGATAGATTAGTTTAAATTGTTTTAGAATGAATTCAAATAGATTTTTTTTCCGTTTCAAATCAATTTGGAAACAATCCAAGTGAATTTTTTTGGTTTTGAATTCCGATCAATTTCAATCGGCTTAAAAATATTTCAAATCCATTTTTTTTCAACTGAATACTTTTTTGATACTAAAATTGATCTTAATCAGTTTTTGTCAGTGTGGGTAGCTTAGAGTAAATCGCACGAATTTGAAAAAAAATGGATAATTTTTGCGAAGTCAGCCTGTCATTGTGTCAGGAAATTTTGTGACATTTAGTTTGAAAACCGGCAAAAATCAAACCCAATTCTCTCGACAGACAATTTTTTGAAACGTTTTTGGATTCCGAATCTCGACTGTTAGCACTTTAATGTGATGCGGCACTTGACCCATATTCCAACTTTTTTTGATGTAGTCGGGCGAAAAAAATAGAGACCAATTTTTTTGATTCATGCATCCAGAAAAAAGGAAGAAAGTTTAGAAAAACATTAACTGATTTGAAGAAAAATTTCAAGGTTTCAATTGAATAATTTTTGTCTCGAAACAGGCGCCAATCTAGGAGTTTCTCGAGAAAGGGGGGGAGGCGAATTTCAAAACTTAGAAAAAATGGCCCAAAAAAGACGTTTTTAGGCACTTTTTGGAAAATTTCGACCAAAAAAATCGCGTTTTTTTCGGTGCGCGCTCCTCCCTCAAAATTAGTTTAGATTGGCGCCAAAGGCGCCCTTTGAAAATTTTTAAGGTCAGCCAGCCAAAAATGGATATCTCAAAATAAAACAAAGGGGGGACCCTTTGGGTCGGCTGAGGGTCGAATGCCTAAGGGGAAAACAATGGGTCCGCCCCCCGCCCCCGCCTCCACCCCCCCTAAGTCCGCTACCTTGAATAACGAAGTCTCGAAACCTTGAATAACGAAGTCTCGAAACGTTGAATAACGAAGTCGGTTAAAACTTTGATGTAATGTTTTTTAACGAAATAAAAAAAAAATGGCATAGCAGGCAGTATTTTCAGGGGATAAAGTATATATGTATCACTGTTTGAGTTTGCCATCACTTATCAATAATTGAGTAGTCAGGATTCAGCAAAGTCTTATCAGAACTCCATTTACCTGCAATACCTTTTGCGTATATCTTATAGTTCTGAGAAGATATGAGCTGACCGCTTATGACACCGTTTGAGATCCGCGATGGTATGCTGCAAAATAATAATCGAAAACAGGTAACAAGAACAAATGTAAAAGTTACAGCAAGACGAGAGACAAATTATTCCTTCGCGTTTGATGTAACCTTGGCTGATTGAGAGCCCAATTTAATTCCAGATATATTTAGAACAAATCAAAGATACGACGTTTCTGAACTCTCAGATGGTTGACTTTAGGAGCGTGTTCGATTCTGAACAAACGATAAAACGCATATCGATGATTAATGATTAAAATTGACGTTGGAAACACCGAATGAAATATTGTCGGCAAAGGGTGTAATTAGTTTTTTTTTACAAAATTAGATTGAAATCTTTGATACCCTGTGGAGCTTATGAGTCTGTGAGTCTATCAAAGTCTGGTGTCGTTTCGGTCCAATGCATAAGATACAGAGCAAAAGAAAAGTTTTAGTCTGCAAAAGTACGAACTCAATTTCAAACAGGTGAGTTAACGAGTAATAAATTGATCAATCAATGGCATATTTGAGTTTACTTTTAAATTCTGGATTTGCTCGAAATTTCAAATTATTAAAAGCTTTATTTAGATATGTTTTACAGCATATATTGTCAAAAATATTCAGAAGTTTTGTTGTTTTAAATTAACTAAAACTTTTATCTGTTCAAGAAGTGCTTGATCAAATAAGTTTATTTGTGGGACAAATTAATTTAAATGAAATCAAAAGGTTTTTTTTTGTATTCATCGGGTAGGTACCCTACAAAAAAGTGATTTAACAATTAGAAAAACCTTAGCTTACTATCCAAGCTATCCGAACATTGACTAGTGGCTAGACTTGGCAAAAAACTGTTTAACTTGGATAGAAATTTGGATTTTGTAAAAAAAAATACGCAATTTACCTCGCTGATTTTTTCCAATATAATTATTTAGTACACGATTTAGTGACCGTGAAATATTGGGTCTATGTACAAGTATGGTCCACAGGTGGGTTTGGGATTTGAGTGCAATCAATTATTTCGTGCTGTGTGGCTATTCTATGTCCGAATCATAAACAACAAAAGAAAGAAGAGAGTCCAAAGACAGCTTGCAGTCACGTGACATCAAAGAAAAGATCTGTCGGATCTCAGACGAGTATGGTAATGTCATAAATAAATGAATGGCAATTCTGTAAACATGTTTAAAAAATTATAAATATTGACCAACAAATTCGAACTAAATATCGGTGTCCGGCAAATAAGACGACAGTTTTTAGGACGACTACCGTTTTTGCGTTTTTGATAGGAATTTAAGACGAAGCATTTCTCCAAATTCTGAGAAACATAATACGCTTAAGTTGGAACCGTTCATTTTAAATGTTTTAACGCTCATTTGTCGTCTTTAATGTCATGTCGTCTTAATGTCCTGTCATCTTAGTAACCTGTCATATCAAACAACACGATTCGCACCACGGGGCTAAGAACTCATTGAAAAAAGAAAATAACCATCATAGGAGCTGTTCTATCTTTATTTAGGAAAAAGTAATTCAATAAAAATTTTAACTTGATTTTTGATGGTCTTTGAGTTATAAATCATAATGGCTTTTTGAATCATACATAAATTATTGTTAAAAACTATCAGTTTTAAAGCTTCTCTCTTATAAGAGCTATAACAACTATGATCCTAAAAGCTTCAAAAAAGTTCAGTTGTTCGGTGCTCTCTAATATTTAGTAGCATTTGTGGGAAATCAAGCTTCAATGATTTCAAAAACGATTTCTGGTGTTATGATTTTCATAATTATTAGAAAATGAATTGCAAAAAACAGCAGTTTTGCTAAAGTTGTTTTTTAAAAGTCAAAAACATATCATTTGGCAAACCTGTAGTTGATTTGGTGTTCAAATCATCCCCAAGAATAATTCTTCTCTGAAACCAAATCTAACTTTCTTTGATGCACCATAATCCTCATTCATAATACAGAAGATAATAGTCTCATTTGATAATCATATTGCGATCGTCTATTTAAATTCTCTGAAGCATGGGTTCAACAAAACGAAAAGTAAAACTTGCTTCGGATAAAGATCTTAAATCTAGTCTTCAAATTTAGAAAATTGGAAACTTGACGTCTAGAATCGAAGGAAAAGAAGCGAGGCGTCGAGTCGTGAACAAAGGTGTGGCGATGATTATTGGAATCGGCAGCTAGATCTGGTCAACTCCTAATTCAAGGATAAAATAAGAAGTCCGGCACGCTTGAACAATTTAACCAAGAGCAAATAGGCTATAATTGAAACAGTTACTGCACTGCTAATTAGGCAGTGTTGGTGAAATAATAAATAACAATTGGCCTTCTGGGGTTAAGTTGAAAGTTACGGAGTCATAACCAATCGGGCTAATAAATTTGATGAGCTGTAAGATCTCGCCGACCACACGAAGGGCACATAAAAAGTGCAAAAAATGACAAAAAATTCAAACAGCCGAAAGTATTGTCATCCGACAACTACAGATCAGAATTTTGAAGCGAAATTCGAATGGTGCTTGTGGGTTAATCAATAACCATTCATTTGTAAAACCGATTGTTTCGCAACCACTGAGTTTGTTTTTAGAAAGTATGTTTCGACAAAATTTAGTTTAAAGTTCACGATAATTTATTTTGCGTAATAATGACAACATAATTTTTGTTTATCTCTTCGAAATTATCTCAAATATTTACCCAGTCGGTTTGTTGAACCATTAGAGATCTGCAGTAACTGCCAGTTTGCTGTGTCGGTTATGTATTTTGTAGGATACTTGCACTGGCTAAAATAATGATAACCTTGGACCAATGATAGGGGAGAAAGCGAAAAAGAGGGAGAGAGAAAAGGGGAGGGGGTTGACTGTCGGCGGCATAAGTCCACCCTTTGAAGTGTGGGCTTCGATTGGCTATTGAAGAGAAGACAGGGAGTAGATCTCGTTTCGCACTGATGAACCCAATTGTGACAGCTTTATGGGTGGTAAAATTAACCCTTAAAAATATATTTCCACCTCACTTATTTTCTGAATGCAAAACAAAATCACCAAGAAACTTCTTGAATCGAAAAAACTTATTTTAATTTCTTTCCTTCGTTCTAACAGAAGCTTGTAGAAACATCAAACGAATTATCTACAACCATTGCGAAAAAAAATATGTTTAGTTCTAATCAAAATGTGAAAGTTGAAACTTTAATAAGTTAATCTGAACACTGGCTCGGTTTAACCTCAACCGCTACCAAATGTACTCAGATATCAAAAACAAAAACTAAATTAGACCGCTCATTTTTACAACTTTGGGTTTCCATTCGTAATTAATTTCATCAAAATTACTTTGGCAAAATATCACTTTAGGAAAAAAAATCTTTCAATCGGCAATACTAAAATTGTTAAGGTATAACAAATAAGTTCTCTTATGTGCTTGATTCGTAATCGATTTTGTTATTATTATGATTCCTTCTGCTTTCAGACCTTTATGTTAAGCGTCCTTTTGTTCATTCTGGGATCATTTTCATTTTATTTCCACTGGGAGCAATTGTTGGCGTATCAGACTACAAAGTGCAACTTTGGTTTGGCCGACGAGACTGCGAGTTGCTATAAATATAATGGAATTTGTGTCAAAGAGGTTTTCAAAGATAAGCAAAACAACACCTTTGGGCCGCTAACCCAGATTAACTAAGCATACCAAGAACTTGAGAAGTTTGATCCCCATTGGTACATAGATACGTTCAAAAATAAAGCTGAACAACTATGTTGCAATACTGCAAAAACACGCATTCGTCTCAATTCTGCGCCCTTTTCTGCAAATAAACACGTGACACACTATGCGATTGGAAAGAAGAAGAACTAAATCCCCGCACTGAAGTTTCATCAATAATAGTAGATTAAAATGGTTTTTAGAGAACAAAATATTGGACTATATAACCGATTATAGAAGCCAGTTTTAAACTTAAATGCATTTTAAAGGGGCACTTAGCATAGTGGTAAGGCGTTTACTTTAGAATCGTCAGATCGTGTACTCGATCCCATGCCATGGCAATGATAGTGTGTGGGGACAAGCTCTCACTTGACCTCCAGCTTCAGGTCTACCACAACCTGACCAAATTTGGCTGCAATAGTGGTACCACGTGAAAGTTCTAGACGCACAAAAACGACCTCAGTCGCAAAAAAGAGCTTCGCTCAACAAAATAACACTGTCTGGAATGTGGGGAGATAATACAAATGGACCATCCTCGACAGGACTGTTAAAGGCCTACTGATAGATCCACTGCGATTCGCAGGGACTACATTATATTATTATTATTATTTTTGCTGGATTTCAATCGATTTTTTCTCATATTAAAATAATCCATTTTAATCGATTTTTCTTCAATTATAATCGATTTTTGTTCTCAACATAAATATGTGAAAGTCGATTGTTTTTCCCCGCAAAATCCATCATAATTCATTGTGTGGTTCTTTTTCTTCTCTCATCTCCACCAACAAAATTTTACAATAAAAGTTTTGTTCACATTATGCGATTAGTATCAAAAAAGGCATACGGACTAAAACATGTTCGATCTTCATAATTAACATTGTAAAACCACTCGTTACACCATAAAATTTGATGCTCGTGTGAGATGAGTGGAAAAGGGAAAAGAGCGAATTGTTTTCTGCAGAAAAATTGTGTACTCAACTTGTTGCACATTTTCTGTTGAACTATGACAAACCGAAGATACATTTTGAGTTGATTTAAAAAAACTTGAAAAGCGAGATCAGTTTACGAAATCCTGCTTTTTTTCTGGTTGCTGCTTTTTTGTTGTGTTGGATAGGATTGCGATACACATGTATTAATTATATTTACACCTTTTTCTGTCCAAAGTAAACCTAATTTTTTTCCAAAACCAACATAAGTTTTGTTCTCACACAATTTTGGTATCGATGTTTGGAAGGCCGCGGTGAGCCTTTGTCAACTTTACACTGCATACATCAAAAAGAAACAAAATTTGCTATTGAAATCCGCACCGAGCGCCCATGGATTCTAATCGATTATAATGGATTCCAGAGACAAAAATAATCGATCATAATCCATGGGCGCTCGGTGCGGGAAGGAACTGCGTTTGCGAAAATCCAATTGCGCCAAATTTACCATCAGGATGCAGATGTTAGGAAAAGCTGATAAGGGGGGTATACCCAGGGGCGGATTTAGGGGGGCGGGACGGACGCCCCCTCCCCAGGGATTCGACCCCCTGCCGACCCAAAGGGTCCTTACCCCTTTGATACTTTTTCAGAAATCCATTTTTGGCCGACCGACCCTAAAATTTTTCTAAAGGCGCCTTCGGCGCCATTATATACTAACTTTGAGGGGGAGCGCGCGCCAAAAAAAACGCGATTTTTTTGTCAACATTTTTCAAAAAGGGCCCAAAAACTGTTTTTTTGACTGTTTTTTCAAAAATTTGCCTGCGGCGCAGAAAATTTTGCCAAAATAGGGGCAAAACAGTGCTTTGGGAGAGCTCGAAAAATCAATTTGGTCAACCTAAAAAAAAAAAAAGATCGTCAAAATTTTCGACTGCCTTTTTAGGTTTATTGAGCAGCAGTAATACATAAAAAAAATTAAATGAAATAAAATAAAATGAAATTTTTTTTTCTAAAATTTGAATTTTTTAATGAAAATCATCACCCCACACGCCATATAAAGTACAAAAAAGATAGATTTCGTTCCTTGTAACAAATCAATTATGGCAAATAAGCTTCGTTCAACCAATTTGGAACGATTTATAAGACGGATTAAATCTCGCTTACGCGTTAATAGCGCGAATTATATTGCGCGTTAATTGTCCCAAATTGGTCAAAATGGCCAAAATGGCAATCTTTAAACCCCCATAACTTTACGAAAAATGATCACAGGTGAAATATTTTTTCAAATTTAAGCTTAAGACAACAATACCTTTTGAATGATATTTAAAAAATATCCGTCAAAAATGGCCAGTTAAAAAGTCGAAATTTTTCTGAAGAAAAAAAAACCCACCCCGAGCGCAAATATTACGTTACTTTTGTATCGAAAGTCGGAACAATAAAATCATCTTGATGAAAATTTCATACAAATTACCACCACGAAACAAACGATGACTTCCACCAGCTGGTTTTCGCTTATCCTGAGGTTGAAATTGGACATCGAGAGGGCTGAAGCTGCAGGAGTTGACCTTTTGCTGTTCGAGGAGGGGGCTATGTTCTCCGGCTGCCGGGGACGCCGCTGCCTACCATGAATACTGCAGCTTTGGAAGACGCGGGCCCTCCACCACCCATCCCTAGCCCCCACCTGAAGGTGCAATTCAATTCAGCGAGACGGCGGAATGGGTGATCGGCCCAGGATAAGGCATCGATGACTGCCAACCCGCCCTCGCCAGGACAGATCGTCAATGGCTACGTTGCTGATGCGGACTCAGAGATGCTTGGAGCCTGATGAGGATGGTGACTTCGAGGGGAAGAACTCGGATTGGTACCACGCACCTGCCATTCATCTCCATACTGGTGGCAAGGCGGGATGCCGAAACCGCGGAGTGAAACATGAACCTTGAAAACATTTGTAGTGCCCTATTTAGATCTTTACGTCCATAGCCCCTTTATGACCTGTAATAAGTTAATTAAGAATTTTTCACGAAGATCAATAGGCTAAAAGCGTAAGTTTGACAGCTCATTTGGATAATAGTTTAAGATACGAAGTAAAAGCTTGAGTTGGTACCAACTAACCTGAAATGGATATATTATGATAAGAATGCTAATTAATAACAACTTAAAACAATATTACAAGGCGAATAGACATGGGGTGGAAAATTGATCACGCGTAGAAAAACGATTACGCGCCAGAACATATCAATCAGAAATGGTATAACTTATGAAAGGGGTGAGCTTCATCTATATCAAGTATCGACTTTTAGCATAAAGTGTTGGGTAAAATTTTTTAAGGTGGGACTTATATACGAAGTTGACCACGATTAGGAAAAATATCAATCAAAAGTGCCCTAAAAAGGGGCATGGGTGCTTATCGGAGATGTAACGCAAATATTGCGAAATCGTAAAGATCGAGCGTAGAACAGAACGAAAAGCAGAACAAGTTAATGATTCAACAAATCAGTAGGTCCGAGTGAGTCGCTACTTGATATAAAATTTTTAATTGTCCCAATCCATCATGGGGGGGGGGGTTTAAAAAGAGTGCAACAAAAAAACATTTGATTACGTTTTTTGACTATTGTAAGATTGCAATGATTTTTAAGCGGGCAGGGAATTTTTCAATTTAAATTTTAACACCATCTTATGAAATTATTTAATATGATTTACTAAAATTTCAAGCCTAGGTTCCAGGATACAATGACAGAAAA